TGGGGTCCCCCCCAGACACAAAATCTGCCAGTACTTTAACCTTAGAATTCCTGGCCTCCAGAACTGTGTGCAACAAATCTATGTGACTTCCAAATTAAATATATATTATAAATACATAAAATTTTATAAATTTATAAATACATATAGAATACACACACAAAAAACACACACATATATTTTTATATATATATAAAATAAAATTTTATATATAAAAATATATAAATATTAAGAGAGGGGCCAGCAGATAGTGTAGTGGTTATGTCACTGAACTCCCACATGGCCAACTAAGGTTTAAGTCCTGGACCTGGTGACTTGAAAATAATGCCAGGCTTGTGTGCATGTGTTCCCAAGATCCCAGGAGGAGAATGGAGGAGAAGGGATTGCTGTGAGCCATCCCCCATGGGGGGTAATTTCTCACTTTCCCTCTCTCTGTCTCGATCTGTCTCTCTCTCTGGTGAGCTCATGCACCCTATGGCAAAAACCTCTATTACAAAAAAATTAAGAGAGCAAAAGATCATTTAATTTTTCCCATGTCTCCACATACACTTGGATACCCCTAATTCATAGTTTCTTAATGTACAGTCTGATGATGTATTATTAATCATACTACCTTTTATTAAAATCACCTACTTTTTTCTTATCACTTAATGATAGTCCTCATGGGAGCAAGAGCAAAAATAGCACATTCCCAAACTCAGCTCATAATAGACATTAAATAAACTACAAATAAATAATTATAATAATAAATGATAACTAAATTCTTTGATCAATTCTTTTGTGTGTAGAGCATACATAGGAAATTTTATTTTATAAAAACAAAAAATAATTGGATATTTTATATATAGCATAATTTAGCAATCTAGTGAGTATTGACAAACGTCACTGTTAGAAGTCATCCATCATATATACAAAAGAACCCAAAGGACATTCAGCAGATATTTTACCCCTGAAATACAAAATGTCTGATTTATATTTTTCATGTATTTTTTGAAGAAGATGCTCCATTAGCAAATTCAAGTTTGGTTGGCCCTTTTTAGTCTTTCTGCTCACTATTTTAAACACTTTTTTCTTTTGTGTGTAGAGCCTTTGCACTTCTTCTTGCTCGTTTTCTTCTCTCGAATTCTTGTTTCTTAGCAGCACGCTCAGCTTGTACTTGTTCATATTCTTCTTGTGCTTTCTGATTTGATGTTTAAAAATATGAACTCTTCACGAATTTGCATGTCATCCTTGTGCAGGGGCCATGCTAATCTCCTCTGTATCGTTCCAATTGTAGTATATGTGCTCCTGAGGTGAGCACTTGATCATTTATTTTAAAAGGGTTTTGCCATAAGGCACATGCACTCACCAGGGAGGAGAGAGATGGTGAAAGGGAAAGTGAGAAATCACCCCCCACAGGGGATGGCCGTGCCACAATCCCTTCTTCCTTCTCCACTCGTATTTTGGGCACACACACACACACATATGGCCACCACGATTTTCAACTTGCCAGATCTGGGGCACAAACTATGGCCAGCCATGTGAGAGTCCAGCACCTTAACCACTCTACCCCCTGCTGATCCTGATCAATTTAATTTTCTTTCTGTACTTCAAAGGGGCAAGACTGTTCAAGCTCCCTTCTAAGAGAGTTCAGGATTATGGTCAAGACCGTGGGCTCTGCATTGGAGCAGGGCTGGGACATCCTACTCTTCATGGATTAACTCTGGGAATATGGCAAGTTGCTCAACCCCTCTGAGCCTCATTCTCCCTCATTCACAGAGTGAGGAAATTAGAATCCACCTTGCACTGTTATGGTGAGGGTTAAACAGGGATGTGCATGGGACATATGAGGGCTAAGAAAACCTTCTGGTTATGAGCATTTCTCCACCCTACTCCTTTCTTCTGTGGCAGCCCATATAGTGCAAATTCTAGGGGACGGGATATGATTAAGGTTGGGAAACCTTAGAAATCTTTTTAGTATGTTTATAAGCTGCATTTTCTTCCTCTGTTCCAAGGAAATGTTGAAAGAGGAAGCCTCATGAAGACACAGCAGTGGCTGGAGCACCAGGCCGGCCAGTGAGTCTGCATGAGAGTGCTAAGGCTGCTGCTCACTGCAGTGAGACGGCCACAGAGACAGGGCTCGCCAATGCTGATGGTCTATGTGCAGTTAATTCATAGCATATTACACACTCAATGTTCAGCTTGTGTGCCTCCAAAGTTGTACTGCTTGATGGCAAGACACCTCTGATGCCCAACAACAGCTTCACAGCTGTCTAGTTGGGTTGGAAGGAGAAAAACAGAGGGGACTGCCATCCAGGATCCTGGGAAGAGGAAGGAAGGGGTCTTGTGGTTTTCATACCAACCCCGGGTGGAGTGTTGGCAGCTGCAATCATACCCAGGGAGGCTATGCCATTTTCATGACTCAGCCAAGCAGCTGTCAGCCCAAGTGCCCTCCCCATCATCGCCATGTGCCCAGCCTCCTCCTCCTTCCTTTGAAGGGAGTGGTCCACTGAGGTCAGGGAAGGACCTGGGGACAGGAGGTGAACTACAAAGAAAGGGCCTCTAGGGGCTTGCCTAGGCAGAAAGCTTCAGGAAAACTGCCAGCTCTTCATTCGATGAACTTTAATAGAGCTCCTAAGCTGAGTCCTGCCCTATGTAAAGGGTTGGGGACCCAAGGATGAATGAGATGGGGGTCTGCCTTTGGGAGCTCAATCTCCATGTTGACTGAGCTGTAGCCATCATGACCTGATGTGATAATGAAGGTATACAGAACTGAGTACACGGGGAGGACCCCTCAGGAAGGACTGGAATTAAGAAGGGCTTTGTAGAGGAGGAATCACCAAACCTGTGAAGCACCTTGAGCCTACCTCCATCAGCAGGGTCAAGCTCCCTCCCTGTCCTCTGAAGCAGCAGACTTGAAAGCTGAGCAGTAGGACAACTCTGGTCCCACACATAGTACAGTGATGCAGGCATGGATGCTGCCTCAAGGCACTGTGTGCATTCTGGAGACCAGCACGCAAGTCACCACTGCATCAGTATGACCCTGGCTTGCTGCCCTTAGAGGCCTCCCCTTTCCGTACCCTACAGCATTCTTCTCACACTCTGAGGTCCTTCCCAGCTCCCAGCCCACCACCCTGCTCCACGACGAATGCTGACTGCACAGATGACCACAGCACTATGGTTTCCTACCATGCCCCAAGAGTTGCTTGCTCAAAACCAATCCCCCAACTCTATGAGTTGGTTATTTGACCAGTGTCTAGCCTTTCAATGCTTTGGAGTTCCTGCCCCATCCCCAATCATGTTCAAATTGAAACTGTTCTAGGTCCATGCAGAGCACCAGGTTGCCCTCACTACCCTCATGCAGGTCTGGAGGTTGAGCAGTCCCTGTTTAAGGCAGGAGCTGAGAGTAGGTAGTGATATTCTGCTTCGGAGATGACCACAGAACCAGCAGCTGCTTACCAAACCCCAGCAGCATCCCACCTACCTCTCTCCTCTCTCTCTCTCTCTCTCTCTCTCTCTCTCTCTCCCACACACACACACACACACACACACACACACACACACACCCCATAGCCTTTTGTCAGTTTCTGCTCCCCAGAGGACCAATGAAGGCTCTGTAAGTAGAGTTGTCTGGCAAGGCCCCACAGATGGGCTTCCTGCCAGCCATTCTCTTTTGGGCTAAAGGACTATAAAGCTGATTGTTCAAGAGGACCTATATTAGTTACCACACCATGTGTCGCTGGGTAGCTCAGTCTACACAAAGCTGATGCAGAATCGTTGCAGGGGCTGGATCGTTCCCAGAAGTGCTTGGTAGGACTGAGTTGACCTGAGGAATTGGGGTTAGACTACATAAGAATGTCTGGCCTCACCTAGCCCAGCCCAGCATGCTACACCAAACTGGAGTCTCAGTAGGCAGGAGGCTGCACAGTCAGTCACTAGCTTGTGCCTGGTTCCAGGCATCTGTTTCCCTAAGCTGTTTCCATATCACCCCAACAGCTTTCTCCATCTCTATGCCTCTCATTCTCTTCCTAGGTGAGGTCAACAGCGTTGTTTTAGGACAACATTGGACTCATAACTGAGACAGAAAGAGCCTGGTGTCACTGCAAGCTCCCACTGGCCTGGTCTGGGGTATACTCGGATTTATGGCAATCAAACACAAACACGCAGCCAGGCTTGGTTGGGCTGGGACTATCTTTCTAAAATATAGCTGCCCATACACACCACACACACACACTTGTGCACGTACACATTCACACACACACACACACTCACACACACACACTCACACACACACACTCACACACACACACTCACACACACACACTCACACACACACACTCACACACACACACTCACACACACACACTCACACACACACACTCACACACACACACTCACACACACACACTCACACACACACACTCACACACACACACTCACACACACACACTCACACACACACACTCACACACACACACTCACACACACACACTCACACACACACACTCACACACACACACTCACACACACACACTCACACACACACACTCACACACACACACTCACACACACACACTCACACACACACACTCACACACACACACTCACACACACACACTCACACACACACACTCACACACACACACTCACACACACACACTCACACACACACACTCACACACACACACTCACACACACACACTCACACACACACACTCACACACACACACTCACACACACACACTCACACACACACACTCACACACACACACTCACACACACACACTCACACACACACACTCACACACACACACTCACACACACACACTCACACACACACACTCACACACACACACTCACACACACACACTCACACACACACACTCACACACACACACTCACACACACACACTCACACACACACACTCACACACACACACTCACACACACACACTCACACACACACACTCACACACACACACTCACACACACACACTCACACACACACACTCACACACACACACTCACACACACATACATACACATATAGCCTTCCAGAAAACTGCCCCGATTTGCTCAGAAAAGGGAAATGAAAATATTTTTCAAATGTTAGAGCTGAAAAGAAATCTATAAGTCATCCGCTGAGCATCATCTTGACAGATGGCTAGAGCCAAGGCCTTGAGAGAAATGATGGACTTAGAGCAGCCCTGCACATTCTCAGCAACCTGGCCTCCCGGCGCCTGGGATGTGCTTCCTAGACCATCAGGTGACTCCTGGCCTGATTTGCTTGGCCCAGCCCAGCCCAGCCTGACCCAACCCAGCATGCTAGAATGCTGACTGCTGCAGATCCCTGTGGGCTGGGGCTGCTGACCAGGGCGTCCGGGTCGCCCTTTGTTCCCCTGCGCCTCACCCACTCAAGTCTGCCACTCTACAGATCTTGTTCCCAGCCTGGGTGGCATTTCCATGTGGCCCCTCATTTCCTGCCAAGAACAGAGCCGGCCTCTCTGATCCATTGGCTCTCCGCCCGGCTGGGCTGTAGGTGGCATCCTTGAAGGCTTTGGTCCTTCTCCCTCAGGACTGTGAGGGTGAGCTGCAGAGGGAGGGGACAGGGATCAGGGCATCGTTTAGGAGGCTACTAAGGCCAAGTTTGGGGAGTAGCCAGAAAGACGGTCCCCAGCCCAGACAGCCCCTCCCACCTGCCCAGACCTCTGTGTACTCATGCAAAGATAATTCAGTTACCCGGAATGGAGACTGCAGAGATAACCTGATTTAGATGCTGAAACCATCTGAACTGAGGAGGGAGGCTGGAGTGCAGGAAACAGTTCTTATTAACCCAGGAAGGCGGGAGCAGAAACAGGGAAAGGGGGGTTGGGTAGAGAGACATCGGAGGGCTGCCCAGTAAGGATTACTGTGGAGGGGTGGGTGTTGGCGGTGGAACCCCCACCATCAGTTCATCCTAGAGCTCAGTCACCCCTTAAATCCTCTGTGAATTCACTTTCTTCTAGGGTGTTAAGGTGGCCATCATCTGGCTTATACAGCCATCCTGGGCAGAGATAAGCTGAGAAACCTATAAAGTGTCAGAGAGAAAAAAACCTTTTCTGAGGTTTAATTTGAGTCATTGATCACCAACTATCCTGGGAACAAGTTATTTCAGTGTGAGCTGTCATCTGTGAAAGCTGGTGGCTTGGTTGCTACAGGACCCTCTGGAGAGGAGGGCTGCAGAGCACTCACGGTCAAGGTCAGAGGCCTGAGGATCCTCCCCCCTCCAGCCCCCTCCCCCCCACACACACCACTTCTTGCTTCACACCTAGGAGTCAGCAA